CAGCAACCCGGCCCCCAGCTCAGAAAGGTTGCCTACCCCTGGTTTAAGTGGTGCATACATAGAACTGGTGTGAATGTGAAACTAGATTATTTTAAACCAGTCTGTACTTTCTGTTGTTGATTGACAGCTGACTGTTCCAGATGTTAAGGCATTATCTTTGCATTTCTTGTACAGTGTGGTGCTTTTTAAACCTTTTATGCCTAACTGACTTTTTGTCTTTGAAACTTAGTTTTACAAACCTCTGCATCTACTCTTTTGGTTTCTAGTAACTCATTCTGAACATAAGCATGGTTGTTTTCAGTGTGGGGCATTCTTCAACATCCCTTGGAGGAAAAAAAATTCCAGCCATGGTTGTGTCTCATCCTTCTTTTTCCTCCTTGGTCCAGGAAGGACCTTGTTCTGCCTGTAGACAGCCTTTCACTATATAGTAGTCCCTGTTTGACTATGAGCATTGTCACAATCTTATAAAAGAGAAAACTAGAATAAAAGGAGTTGTGCAACAGTATTCATAAGGTCTACTCCACTAATGTGTCGAACACGTATAGAGTATATAGTGTATACAAGCCTGCTCCTCTCTGTAACTGCCCCATTGATGTTCTGCAGCATTCAGTCTGAGATTCTGGTCTAGAGTACCCTGCTCAAACCACCCCACAATTGGAAAACAAGAGGTGATAACTGTATTTCTTGGGAATGCACAAGAAGCTTCAAGTGCTGCTGTATTGAAGCTTTTCTGCAAATAAGGACTCACAGTCTTGATTTTTCCTTCTCCCTCCTCCCCCTTGTCTAGAGAAGGAAATTCTGTTTTGGGAAGATCACACCCAAGCTGTAAGATGAAACTTTTCTGCTTTGCAGGTGAGAGGCACAACTTATTGTTTTTGCTCCAAGGCAGCAGCCTCTTGTCTGGGCTTGTTGTGAGTGAACTTTTATCCTTTTTCAAATAAATGCTTGGGGGAGGGAGGGGAAAGACCAGTTCCTATGTGAGGCCCACAGAAATTGACCCAGCTCCTGCTACTCTCACAGGCCTGCCCCTGAGGCACTGAAGAGCAACAGAATAGTCCTGCATGACTTCATCTTGCCTTTCTGTATTTTATTGGTGATATCCATCCACTTTATACATCTGACAGAATTCTGTTTATTGCTTTTGCCTCTGTCATCTTTGCAGATTTCTTTGTCATCTTTCTGCAGCCAATGCTGAGTGGAAAGTTTTCTTTGGAGTCAGTGTGAGCGGGAAGATCTTAACCATAGCATCTGTTGTCTGTTCTAAGGACTAGTTCTCAGGAAGCAGACAACTACTGATGGCTCTCTTTTTTTGGGTAGATAATATCTGTATGTAAATCACTGCTGTATTGTCTTGGTTCAGAAGATGGCTTTCAAGCATTCTTTTGCAAATGTAGAACCTCTTATATACATGGTCCTCATCAAATTGCAACTAGTTAGGTAAAGAGATTAAAATAGCAGTATGCTTAAGATCTCACAAAGTACCTGGAAAGTGGGTTTTTTTAAAAATAAATGTATCCCTGAAAAACTAGAAAAGAGATGATGATGATTGTGAAGCATAAGTCTCATCAGTAGGAGTTTGAAAATATGCAGACAGGTAATATATACTCAGACTTGCAGTCTATCCATACATTCTTATCACTGCCCCTTTCATTCTATGCTTGTGTATGGTGAGAAGTCTGCATCTACTTCAGGCACATATGGTAATGACAACTTAAGGATTGTTTTAATCCTCTGGTCATGCAAGATAACACATGGTGTTCTGGTCAGGCCACGATGTAAATGGGGATAGGTTTGTGCTCCCCCCCTCCATCTTCTGACAGGCCAGAAAAATGGTAAAAAAATGCTCTATTATGATACTGTTTGTGTCTTTTTTTAGAGTTCCAGGTATAAAGCTAGAATTCACATCATGACATCCTCTACCATCTGTACAAGAGCTACATGCTGCTGCAGCCCCCTCAGATAATGTACATAAAGACATTGTCCCTCTCTGTTACTCCAGCTATTTTATTGTTTATTGTTTTCCCAAAGGACTGTAAGAAAGGAGACTGAACTTTGACAAGGTTTGCCAAAAGGTTGAGGATTCCATCTTGACTAAATGAATATCTGCTGTGGCCTTTTTTTTTTAATGATAACTTGGCTTCGACAAAACTTTGAAAAAAGAGGAATTATACTCTCTTGTCTTGAGGAATAGGAATTTATCTCCAAATTGCTTGCAAAATATCTGTCTGATCCCTTCTGGATTTTCTTTAGATCTAGCAAGTGAGAAGGAAGGATTATTTGGAAGTTAACCTATCCTCTTTTAAAAATATTTCTCTCACCTTTCTACTTTTCTTTGAGCTAATTAATGTTCCCAAATTAATTAAGCAAGAAAAAATTCTCAAAAGAGAGAGAGCAGAGTTGAAGGTATTGTGGACTATTGTACAACTGGTTTTTCTTAAAGGTTATCTTGAGCCTAATTTTGTGTGTGTGCACAATTTGCAATGTTTATACACAGAGACATACAAAAAACCCCACATTTCCAGTGGGTTTTGCACTGAACTCCTGTCTTAGAGAAACTCATTTCAACTCATTTTAAACCCTTTCCTACTTCTGTAGTCTGTGGCCACACACTAAGGAGAGTGAGGTAAATAGGAAACAGTAATGGAAAGGCTCAACTTTCAAAGAAACCTGTAGGAACGCTTGATAAAATAATGATAGAGTTTTGCACATCTTTTAGTCTGCAGTGTTTCTCTTTTGATTGTTGATAGCTAGCATAAGAGAATACTTCTTAAATATAGTATCCTTGTTACTGTTGCATTTTCATTTTTGAACAGTGCAGGTATATCTTAAGGATATTAGCTAACTCAACATCAGCACATGTTTTAACAGATTTTGTTTGGGCAGACAAAGGGAATATTTATAAGAAACACCTCTTCCCTGGGACTGCTGTCTTGCCATGCAGATTTGAGGGACAGCTGGAAAAGAGTAAAATGGACTCTTTCCAGTCAGTTAGGGGGGAAGCAGACGACGGTGTCGGGGACGCCGCGGGACGGTGCGCTGCTGGAGCGACGCAGCTGCACCGCGGCGCACCATCGGCGCCTCTGGAAGGAACGCTAAATCAGTGCAGACTGACTGTGCAGACGCTGCGGCGAGAGGTTGCCCTCGGAGCGCCGGCCGTGCGGAGGGCCGGCAGCTCCAAGGGCAACCTCGGGAGGAGGAAGGGGCGCCGATCGTGCGGCTGCCCCTCCTCTTCCCTGCCTCGGAGATGACCCTATTAGTCGTTTGCCGAGGCCCTTAGTCTTTTGACGCATATTTTCTTGCAGTAATCTTTTCTGAGGGTTAGGGAGGCTTACTGATAAAATGGCTAGTTGTTAAACTGATATAAAGTGTTACTGTTGATAAAAACAGGATGTAATAGCTGAGGTCTCAGTCCCCCAGCATGCTGTTTTGGCTTGGAGGATGCTCCTTTGAACCCTATCAAACTTAATCAGCAGACACTCTTGCTATTTAAATTATGACCTTTGTATCAGACACAATAAACGAAAGGGATTTTCCTATTGAATAGGAAAAAAGAGATTAATACCTTGCTATACTTTTATCAGTTTATTCACCCAAATTGTAAATGGGTATTCTATCGGTCTTCTCTGATCTTACCCTAATCTATATCTTCAACCATACATTGTGTTGCTTAGTCTTTGGTGGAAAACTCGGGCTTCCACATTCTTGGTGATTTTTTCCTCAGCTGGCTGTTTGCTGCTCCTTGCTCTTCAAGCAGAAGGGATCCAATAATAGTCGCCCTGTCCTTCTGCACTGTTTTAGCAAAATTTACCCACATTCCCATGAACTCATGACAGCTATGCTACACCTGGTTATTGTTAGCTGTTGCAGATAAAATATTTTGTAAGCATGGGATGATTAAAATCAAAAGAATGTGACTCTAGGGATGTATTGTTAGTGTTTTTTTAAGAGAAGAGGTTTGTATGCATTTTTGTGGGCAAGATGATTGAGAATTTCCAAGCAATGATTATAAAACATCTTTTTAAAAATTATGTTATGAGCATGTAAGCATTGCTCTCAGTCTTGCTGTCTCTTCTCTGCATCCTTGAAGATTTGCTTCACATTTAACTGTTGTTCAATGAGAAAGTTTCCCTACTGATATGGTCAGTATCAGTATAGTCAGTATATGGCCTAAATATCTTAAAGACACCAGATCCTGTTTGATCTTGGAAGCTAAGCAGGGTCAGCCTTGGTTAGTAGTTGGACAGAAGACTGACCATCAATACCAAGTGCTGTAGGCTGCATTTCAGAGAAAGAAACTGGCAAAACCACCTCTGAGTAATTGCTGTCTATGCTAACCCCATGAAATTCATGGGGTCACCATAAGTCAACAGGTAACTTAAAGGTGGATAAACACATATACATGGCCAGTACCCAGCCATTTTGAAATGCCTTTTTCAAGAAGTGACTGAAAGACACATGGTTATGGCTTTAATCTGAATTTGATTTGACTGAAATGGATTTCCGTTCATGCTACAATTTATTATTTTGATTCCATTTTATCATTTCTAAGCATTTTTATACAAAGGGATTTCATGTGAAAAAGTAGTGAGTTCTTTTAGCTGTACGGTAGATACAACACTTGATCTTTGACCACTGTGACTGACCTATGAACTTCAACACGAACTAGAACCAACACAACAATCAAACACTTGTTCTTTTCTGTCACATGCACAGTAAAAGAGCCACATACACTACATACACAGGATTCTAGAGTGAATCCCTGATGTTT